CCCCATCCAAGCCATGAGCAACCAGTTTCTCCAGGACTATGCTGGGGAACATGGTGTCAAAGGTTTCTCTAAAGTCTAGAGAGACAACATCCACAGCCTTTCCCTCATCCATTAAGTGAGTGACCATGTTGTGGAAGATCAGATCAGCCAAGCAGGACCTGCCTTTCACCAGCCCATGCTGATCATTGGGTTGTCCTGCATGTACTGTGTGATGGCACTCAAGATGATCTGCTCCACCAGCTCACAATTAAGAGGTTTCCTTGTAAAATGGAATGAGTTATCCAGACTCTGGACTTTCCTCATCTTGAATACCCTGGAGAGAACCATCATCCCTGAAGCACGGGGTACGTTGATAGGGTTCAACCTTTTTTGCTGAGAATGCACCAGTACAGCCCGAAAAACAAGATTCATGCCTCCAGGAAAGAAGCATTAGCAAACATAAGACCCTGTTATTCAGTAATGAGAATCCTGGTGGGACCAGGAATGAGTGAAGAACTGGAATTTCAAGATTCATCATCGTTATGATGTGATATTTCACTAATCATACAAAATGAATAACCATTTGGAGGATTCATCAGTTAGTTATGGGTATTTATCCTGTTGGTAGATGAAAAATAGCTCAGTTTTAGTTTTGCTTGAAGAATTAGTTAGAGAACTGAAAAAAAAACCTAAACCCCAGGTCCTTCATTTGCCAATCTTTTGATCATTCTAGATTCAGGAAGATCCAGCAGCCAAATGTTCCATTTCCTAGGAAATTAATCAATATGCATTCTGCCAAAAGTCATTCCTTACGCAATAATCTCCTGCTGAGTAAGAAATGTATCTCTGATCACTCAAACTTCTTATCCTGAGGGGTTTTTTTTCCTGTGGCAGAGAAGGCAGCACAGAAATGCAATGCCAAGGTCCTGAGGGTGGAGGAGAATATTCACTTCCTTGTTCTGAAACCTCGTAAGGGCAGAGTTGTACCTCAGCTGTGCTTGGTTTTGTTTGGAGAATTAGAAAACATTGCTTCCTCCATAAATTGTTTCTTGTCCAAGAAAAGCTAGTTGTGACTAATGGTGAACTAGAATCTGAGCCATAATCTCTGGAAAAAAACCCACAATCTGCTAAGCAACTCTGATTTCTCATGCAGGCAACGAAGAAATGCCAGATGACCTTCTCCATTGCAAGAACCACCAAACACAAACATCTCAGGAGCTGCTCCTTTCCCTCAGATAAATAAAAGTCTATTTGTGGTTGCTGGAGCGCTGGAAGCTCACAGGAAATTTGTGCTGGAAAGGAATCCATTCCCATTTTATTATTAACATCCAAACATTCTTAGAGGGTGACTGATGAGTCACAGGAGTCAGCAGAGTGCCCAGGTGGCCAAGAAGGTCAAGGGCATCGTGGCCTGGATCAGCACCAGTGTGGCCAGTAGGAGCAGGGAAGTTCTCTTCCCCCCTGCACTGTTGAAGGCCAGGCTGGATGAGGCTTTGAGCAACCTGATCTAGTGGAAGGTGTCCCTGCTGCTGGCAGGGGGGTTGGAACTAGATGAGCTTGAAGGTCCCTCCCAACCCAAACCAGTCTGGGATTCTGTGATTCTATGAAGGAAACTCAGCCAAGGATTGAAGAACCAGGGAGGAACGACACTGGAAGTGGTATCTGCTTAAGCTTTATATACAAATAGTCACTGTAGTCAGTGTTTCAGTCTCACTTGAACATCCAGCACTGGTATCTTTACAATCTGTGTACAGGAAGTTTGCATACCTGGGTATGAGAAGGAGGAGACTGAGATATATAGACAGATTATTTATGTAAGGAAAATATATCTGCAGGGGAAAAGAATTCAAATCCATTTGCAAAACTGCATTTGTCCAACATTTGTATCTCAAGTGACAGGTGCTCCACCTGGTTCAGGTTTTATTAAGAATAAAGATCTCCAGCAACTTCAGTTCTCACCCTGGCTCCTCTATTTTATCTCAATATTAAAAACAGAATCGTTGCTGTTTGAAACCTGAGCAAAGATTGTCTCAATTAATATTTATGCTCCATGGTGTGTTCAAACAAGATGTACACGTGTGTGCACTTATGTCTGTGTGCATGAAGGGTGCACATGGGATCAAGGATTGGAGTTCCTCCAGACTTTTGCTTAATAATATCAAAAAAATATTGATAAATGTGTGTTGGAAACCTGTGTGTAAAGAAACCAGATCACTGGGAAGTGTTTATGAACGCTGTCAAGTTGCTTAAGATTCTGCAGTATGATGTCTACTGATTTGTTCCTGATTTTTTTAATGAGAATTTTACTGAAAACTCACTCAAATTTTATATAAAAACAACTGGAACAATCTGTTCTCCCCCTTCCTCAAGCCTCCCAGCTATGGCAATCCTCAGAACCACGAGGAGCAGGAAACAGCTTGAGGCAGTGCTCTAGCTTGGAAAAAAAGCAAGAGTGAGACACACCAAGATCTGCTTCGTTATTAGATCTATAGGATTAATTAATCCACATTCAATGCAAACATTTCTTAAACAGAATAAGAAGAGTGTTTAAAGTTTAAAGTTTAAAGTATTCTCTTCCAAAGATGCACTGTTGTGAGCAAGGAGAAAGGAATTTGACTGAACAAGAACACGGACAATGGTATCTTGAAGATCTTCCTACAGCTTCATCTGTTAGAACCTGTCTGAAGGAGGAGAAGATTTAACTGGGGTAGGTTTGAAAAGAGCCTGTTCTGCAAATCTTTACTGGATAGTCATTGTCAAAAGACAAGGGATGAGTTCCCAAAGATTTCAGTCACTGAGAAATGATTTGGGAAGAAAGAAAACAAGGAGGGAAATCTGAAAGGGTTTGGAATCCATCAAGATATGAATTCTTTGGAATTTCTCTTGCCACAAAAGTGGCAGAACTTTCATGTGTTTTGGTGATTATCTGTGGTTCAGCGGACCTGAGTGCAACTCCTGACACACATCAAGTGTAGTAGGTGAAAAGGAAAACCCAAAGAAGGTCAAGAGAATCAACAGGACACGTGGAATTATGCACCTTTGAGATCTGAAGGGGATAGACTTACATGGCCCCCGTTGAACTTCACGGGACCAACAGTGAGGTTAGCTGAGGCCTTCAAATCTTGCTAAAAGACATCTCAAGGAGATGATCCCATACAGCTCGATAGCTCTTCTTTGTCTTTCTCACCTGAATTTAGAGGATGCAGAGGCTAAATTCCTTATTTCTTACAGTGTTGGAGATGTTTGAAAGTGCAATATTAGAGACAGGTCTGAGTTTCAAATTAGTGACATCTGAGTGTACAAAAATTCACAGGATCACAGCATGGTGGGGTTGGAAGGGACCTCAGGAGATCATCCAGTCCAACCCCCCTGACAAAGCAG